TGGGGACCATTCAGGCTTGTTTGCATATATATATATATACATATATATATATATATATATATATATATATATATATATATATATATATATATATATATATATATATATATATATATATATATGTCGTACCTAGTAGCCAGAACGCACTTCTCAGCCTACTATGCAAGGCCCGATTTGCCTAATAAGCCAAGTTTTCCTGAATTAATATATTTTCTCTAATTTTTTTCTTATGAAATGATAAAGCTACCCATTTCATTATGTATGAGGTCAATTTTTTTTATTGGAGTTAAAATTAACGTAGATATATGACCGAACCTAACCAACCCTACCTAACCTAACCTAACCTATCTTTATAGGTTAGGTTAGGTTAGGTAGCCGAAAAAGTTAGGTTAGGTTAGGTTAGGTAGGTTAGGTAGTCGAAAAACAATTAATTCATGAAAACTTGACTTATTAGGCAAATCGGTCCTTGCATAGTAGGCTGAGAAGTGCGTTCTGGCTACTAGGTACGACAGATATATATATATATATATATATATATATATATATATATATATATATATATATATATATATATATATATATATATATATATATATATAGGGTCTCTCAAATATATTGACTCATGTTATCAAGAATTACGAGTACAGTAATTTTGTAATTACATATGCCTGGTAAGCATCGATTAAATACTGTACGTTTGTAGTGCAGGTGTTGTGATTATTGAAAGATAATATTTTGGCAATTGTGAGCATCGTCTTAGATGGTTAGTTTGAGTGTGCCCTCGTATATCATAATTTAAATGTACAGTATGCTAATGGCATTGCATTATTACAAGGCTTCAAAAAGATAGGACCCCAACACAAATGTTGTGGTCAACTGGACAATTAGGAGTCATGAGTGAACTTTCACTCGCGCATTTCTCAGACGTGTAATAAGCTTTTCCAGTTATATAGACATTTTTTCTTTAAGAATTTAAATAGACAACCCCGTGAGTTTGTGTTTAATCTTCAGGTGTTGCTGATTGACCGAAACTTTATCAAACACAAAGTTCATTAGTAAATGGTAAATGGCCAGGTAGATGGTACACAACAGTGTAAATGGCCAGGTAGATGGTACACAACAGTGTAAATGGCCAGGTAGATGGTACACTACAGTGTAAAGCTACCAGTGATATATGCGGACTGTGAAAAGACAACACTGGATAACGACCAAAACTCAGGAACAGGAAGTTTAGAGAACCGCAGCAGTAGTGTGGAGGAAGAGGGTATTGTGGTACAAAACAACAGCAATATTGCAGAGCCAGGTAATATAAACAATGAGAGCAACAGTGAGAAAGAGTGCATAAATGAAGGAATTGGGACGAAAGACGGAGATGGCTCCAATAAAGAGGTAGCCAAATATGCAAGTATGGGAAATTAGGTGCAAAATGCTATCCTCGAAATTGCAGGAACATGTTGGCGAGGGGTACATGCCGTTTTGGAACGGAGTGCAGATACTTCCACCCTAAACTATGTCAATTTTCAATTAGGGACAAAAAATGTTACAATCTTCAGTGTCCGGAATTCCACGTGAGAGGTACACAGCGTTATAGACGGGAAGATCAATATGACACTACTGGAAATTTTTTAGAGGAAGGCAGAAACAGAGTAGAACATATAAGAGAGAGGAACAGTCAGATGGAACCACTACAGGATTACAGAGGGGAAGGGAGATACCCACAAGACTGGAATACAAATCATCAACAAGCACACAGGTACTACACCACACAACACCCGCACTACTACCAAAACTGGACGAACCACTACCAAAACAACACACCCTGGACCTGGGTAGAGGGGGGGGAGAACTACCAAAGCCCACCAGAAGTGACACGCAATATGGGAAATCATTCATATTTGCAAACATACAAGGCCTAAAATCAAAATCAAGAAATAAAGTTAAGTTCATAAATGGCCTTCTAATAGAATCGAACTCAATATTTGGTGCATTTACAGAAACCCACACAAAAGACCACATGGATAGTGAAATCTGGATCCCAAATTATAATCTATATAGATGTGACAGAGTAATTAGGTCAAGTGGAGGAGTAGGTCTGTATATTAAAGAGGAGCTGGCATGCACAGAGCTCCTGAACTCGTCCAATGAGGTGGTAGAGGTACTTGGAATCAAGGTAGAAAATATAAATCTAATTATTATTTTAATATACAAACCGCCAGATGCAACAGTTGAGGAATTCACTGAACAGATCCACAAAATAGAGAATATCCTTGATAACCTAGCAAACCCAGTACCAGATATTATCTTCCTTGGAGACTTCAATCTACCCAGTTTAAAATGGAGAATAGTAAACAATAACATTATAGCAGGAAATCAACCTGGAAATAACCAACCACAGGTCAGAGAACTACTGAGATTCTGTGACAAATTCTCGCTCAGTCAGCAGATTACAGAACCAACTAGGAACGAAAACACGCTGGACCTGATATTCACGAACAATGATGAGCTAATCAGAGACATTACTGTCTCAGACACTACGTACTCGGACCACAAGCTCATTGAAGTGCAAACTAACATTAATAACGGTAGTAGGCCCAAGAGAAACAACAAGCGAGAAGGGTTATTCAATAAATTCAATTTTAATAATAAAAGGATAGACTGGGAGAAAATAAACAGGGAACTTACAAACATTCAATGGGAAAATGTTCTAAGAAATAAAAATCCTACACAAGGAATAGAAAAACTGACTTCTGAAGCATATGAAGTCTGTCTGAAACATGTTCCTTTGAGGAAAGCCAGAAAGAGGTCCAATGTAGAAAGAGAACGCAGACGACATTACAAAAGAAGGAAGAAATTAACGGAAATGCTTAAGCAGACACGACTTTCCATACAAAGAAGGAATAATTTAAACAGGGAGATTGAAGAAATCGAACAGAGACTGAAGCATTCATATCAGACTGAAGAAAGGCAACTAGAACAGAAAGCAATTCAAGAAATAAAGAAAAACCCAAAATATTTCTTCACATATGCTAAATCAAAAGCAAAAACCACTGCCAGTATTGGACCTATTCGTATTAGTGAAGGTTCATACACTGAGGATGACAAAGAAATTAGTGAAATCCTAAAAAAGCAGTATGAGGACATGTTTAGCACTCCGATACACAGCATGAAAGTGGAAGATCCGGACAACTTCTTTATGCGTGATATCCAAACACCTGTAAATATAACTGATATCAACACGAGCGTAGCAGATTTTGAAAGAGAAATTGACAATATGCCCATGCACTCAGCCCCGGGTCCAGACTCATGGAATTCAATATTTATAAAGAAATGCAAAGTGCCAGTAGCACAGGCACTCAGTATAGTGTGGAGGAAGAGCTTGGACACGGGGGAGATACCAGATGCGCTTAAAGCAGCAGACATAGCCCCTCTACACAAGGGAGGGAGCAAAGCATTGGCAAAGAATTATAGACCAGTTGCACTAACGTCCCACATAATAAAAGTATTTGAGAGAGTGATCAGGAGTCAGGTCACTAGATTCATGGAAACCAATGACCTCCACAATCCAGGCCAACATGGATTTAGAGCAGGAAGATCATGCCTCTCACAGCTACTTGACCATTATGACAAAATCACTGAGGCATTAGAAGAAAAACAGAATGCAGATGTTGTATACACAGACTTTGCAAAGGCATTCGACAAATGTGACCATGAGTGATAGCACACAAAATGAGGTCAACAGGTATAACTGGTAAAGAGGGACGCTTTATACTCAATTTCCTGTCGAACAGAACACAAAGAGTAACTGACAATCAAATTAAATCGAGTCCAAGCGTAAACAAAGCTCTGTACCTCAAGGTACAGTCCTTGCACCACTGCTGTTCCTTATTCTCATATCAGATATAGACAAAAATACAAGTCACAGCTTCGTGTCATCCTTTGCAGATGATACAAAAATCAGCATGAAAATTACCTCTGCTGAAGACATTGAAAAACTACAAACAGATATTAACAAAGTTTTCGATTGGGCAGCAGAAAATAACATGATGTTTAACAGTGATAAATTCCAGGTACTCAGATACGGCAAAAATGAGGATCTGAAACATAATACAGGGTACAAAACACAATCGAATCTGCCCATAGTAGGAAAACAGCATGTCAAGGATTTGGGAATAATGATGTCCGACGACCTAACGTTTAGGGAGCATAACCAAGCAAATATTGCGTCAGCCAGAAAAATGATAGGATGGATTACGAGAACCTTCAAATCCAGAGATCCCATCACAATGGTTGTACTCTTCAAATCACTTGTGTTGTCCCGTCTTGAGTACTGCTCAGTACTCACTTCCCCCTTCAGAGCAGGAGAGATTGCTGAAATAGAGGGAATACAGAGAACATATACGGCACGCATAGACGAGATAAAGCACCTAAATTATTGGGATCGTCTCAAAGCTCTCCAAATGTACTCACTAGAAAGGAGACGAGAGAGATACCAAATAATATACACATGGAAAATACTGGAGGGCCAGGTCCCAAATCTACACAGTAAAATAACAACGTACTGGAGTGAACGATATGGAAGAAAATGCAGAATAGAACCAGTGAAGAGCAGAGGTGCCATAGGCACAATCAGAGAACACTGTATAAACATCAGAGGTCCGCGGTTGTTCAACGTCCTACCAGCGAGCATCAGAAATATTGCCGGAACAACCGTGGACATCTTCAAGAGAAAACTAGATTGTTTTCTTCAAGGAGTGCCGGACCAACCGGGCTGTGGTGGGTATGTGGGCCTGCGGGCCGCTCCAAGCAACAGCCTGGTGGACCAAACTCTCACAAGTCAAGCCTGGCCTCGGGCCGGGCTTGGGGAGTAGAAGAACTCCCAGAACCCCATCAAGCAGGTATCATTGCATCATAAACTAAACAAAAATCGAAAAGCGAGGGAAGGAGCTGACATGCGACCATATAAGCACAACAAGGTGAGTACACCACTGCCAACTACTAACCTTCAACTTTTGCCACATCCAGTAGGAATGACCTGATGGCGTAGAGGTGTTTGGGTGTGGCCAAGTCGCCCATCATTCCTCGGCAGTGCCTACGAGCCGCCTCCCACGTGACTGAGTGTGGACTCAAGTAGAAGCATTCGTCCAGAACCAAAGTGTATGGGTAAGGGCAGGTCGGACCTGGAACAGCAATACGCTGAAGAAACATGAACAAAAACATTTTAAGGTTGTGTATTGGGACAGATGGATGAACAAAGTTGTCTTGATGTTCTAATACAAGTCAACGACGCCTTGTGAGGTGTGATAATTGTTCAGTGTCGTCAACATCACAGTCAAAGAAATAATTGAAACATCAAATACGGAACAGCAATCTGCCCATCATTAGTGAACTTGTACACGTGTATTGTTAGGCCTATATACATATTTAAATTCGTTGTTGAGGACCATATGGTTCAATAACACATATCATACATGTTTGTTTGTTTGTTGGGATTAATGATATTAACAAATCTGAAGATGTCTGTGTTTTTAAATTTTATTGCTTATAAGTGAATAATTAGAAAACTTGTAATTTGTAATAAAAAATAACTTAACAAATAAACTACTCTGTAACAAAACTACATTACCTATGAATCCTAACTCTGCTGAATTAAGTTAAAATTAACACCATATTTGAATAATATGGCTGCAATAAAATGTTGTTTCGTACAATTTAAACTGACTTTAGCAGGTATTAAAAAAGTTTTCTGCATATTTGTCGAAATAGTTTTGACTAACTAAACCTCATTGAACGGTTCTGTCTGTAAATACTTGTGTGACATGAACTAAATATTATATATGTAAGGAATTGTTCAAAACGTAATTTGTTAAAATATTTTCTCAAATGCAAGAATTACCTTGAGGGAAGGAGTTGCGTTCTCGTGTGACATTTAAGAGTTCACTCAACACTGCTGTTTGGTGGGATAACGATAACTGGTTGACGATCACTGCAGAGCGGAGCTCCTCCAAGGCAGGCTCCTCAGTCATGGGCTGACCAGCCACCACCACCACCGCCAGGAGCAGTAAGGAATTCATAGTTACCGTGTTAATCTTAGCTCTGGTGGCGCTGTCTTGATGCTTGCCTGACCCGTCTAAGGCACACAACTTGGCCCTCGGGTGTGTAGGAGAGGAGTGACGCCCATGTCGCTGTCTTCTCCAGAAGACAGCGAGAGGGGGAAGTGATGCTCCTGCCTGGGGAAATTTACTCACACAACATATATAAGAGTAACCAGTATCACGTAGCTGGGAATACTGAGGTTAGCTGGCATCTGCCCACAGTGTTTCCTCGTAACTATTTAACAGTTGTTAAAACACGTTTACTCCATATAAGTGGTATTTCCCACTCCGAAGAAATACACATTTCTTTTCCTATCGAAGAGCAATGAAGACTGTCGAAAATAAAATAAAAATTTGTCTAACGCGAGACTTGCCAGTGACGGAACAACAACCCACGCTGAACTGATATGGTTCGAACGACTTTGTAATGACTTCCCCAGAACATTACTCGATTTCGTCCGACCTAGAGTAACATCCCCCTACATCTTTGTGTCACGTAAGCAAGAAGATATGATCACTCGACTGGTTGTAGGTAAGATTGGTAATATGGTTTTCACAGGAAAAGACGTCATCAATTGCCCACCAAATTTCAGGAATATCTTGTTACCTGCTTTCCCAAAGAGTTTTCTGTGCTAGAGCTTCTAATCTAGAAGGGGTCTTCAAGACAAAATGCATATATAAAGACGGTGAACCTCTCAACAGGATCATTAATGTTTGGCAAGGCAGGTAACCTCCCCCTCAACATTACACCTTCTCTGGACGTTTCATCCCAGCAAGTTCTATCAGACCTTGGGGGTCGTCTCCTGTTGTCTGGTATAATTGCCACGGTACTCATCATGTTTCTAAGTACTGTCGACGTGACCAAGCTGTCGACGGGCACCTGATAGCTGGGTGGACAGCGCTTCAGACTCGTAGTCCAGAGGTTCCGGGTTCGATCCCCTGTGGAGGCAGAGACAAATGTGCAAAATGTTTCTTTCACCCTGATGCCCCTGGTTACCTAGCAGTAAATAGGTACCTAGGAGTTAGACAGCTGCTACGGGCTGCTTCCTGGGGATGTGTACCAAAAAGGAGGCATGGTCGAGGATCGGGCCGCAGGGACGCTAAGCCCCAAAATCATCTCAGGATAACGTGACTCTACGTTCAAAACTACTATACGAGGCATTGTCCTCACAGGGTCCCCCTATCCTTGAGGACGGGGAGGTAGCCTATCCTCCTATCCATGAGACCGGGGAGGTAGCCTATCCTCCGGTCAAAAAGTGTCCCCGGTGTTTGCTGGCAGGTGTTTGGCGTGGTTACGGTGCTCGACGCCCCGTCCTCCCTAACATGAGCAAGAAGCCAGTTGTGTTTGGTCCAGCTGCAGGAGGCACCCAGCAGGATGCTCATGTCACCTCTAGTAAGCCGTTTCCAAACATCGTCGGACTACAGCAAACAAACAAAGATGCAGAAGAAATTGACTGGTTAAAAAGAAAATGATGGAATTGGAAAGTAAAATAAAAACATTAGAGAGAAATCTGCCTGGTGATAGTGGTGAAGTGAGTCATGCTAGCGATAGTTGTAAAGTAAATTCTCCCAGAGTAAATTATAGAGTAAAATATGTGAATGACAATCTTGCAGCTGTTGAGGCTCCTCCACCTAACTCTACGGAACATGAGTGTGAACTCTCCATGGGGAATGGTGTTAGAGTAGTCATTGATCCCTCACTGACACCCCCCCCCCGCTAGATCACCATGAAACCCTGGACGAGGTTGAAGATAGAGAGTTTAAGAAAATACTAACCGATACTCTGGTAAAACCTAGGCAAAATTGATATTACTAAGGAAACATGCGAAAAAGTTGGTTATGTCGTCAAAGTGTTTAACGACTCTAAACCTATATTCCCTTATACGGATATGATAAGATGTTGTGGATATCGTATATTTGGCTGGTGTGGTATGTATAGCTAATTTCGTACATGGAGAAGGAATGGTAGACTTGGTAGACGTGGAAGATATTGATAATGTGGACGATATGGTAGATTTTGAAGATATGGCAAATATTAGGATATGACATGTGGCAGATATAGTAAATACTTCTGGCATTGTATATATGGGATAACATCGTAGATGCGTCAAGTAATATAGCTGTGACTTATATGGCAGATGATTCAAGTATTGAAGATGTGACATATATGGCAGCTGCTTCAGGTTTGGCCAGTCTGACAGTCATGGAAGATGACTCATGTATGGTAGGGTATCTTGAGATGATTTCGGGGTTTAGCGTCCCAGGGGCCCAGTCCTCGACCAGGCCTCGTTTTTTATACATCCTCACCAGGAAGCAGCCCGTGGCAGCTTTCTAACTCCCAGGTACCTATTTACTGTTAGGTAACAAGGGCAACAGGGTGAAAGAAACATTTTGCCCATTTGTCTCCACCTCCATCGGGGATCGAACCCGGAACCTCAGGACTTCGAATCCGAATCGCTGTCCACTCTGCTGTCAGGTAAGACTGTACAGTCTCACCTACATGGTAGGTATACAGCACCTACATGGTAGGTATACAGCACCTACATGGTAGGTATACAGCACCTACATGGTAGGTATACAGCACCTACATGGTAGG